GCCCCTCTACCTACCCTGCTCATTTCTCTGCAACCCCCAGTATGTTCACTTTCCCACGTTCCAAGTGGGCATTTCACTCCTGCTCTTCCTCTTCACACAGTCTACTCTCCCCTCCTTCCCGCACCCTGCCTCAGGTGTCTGACAAGCAATGGGGCACAAAATGCCTCCTCAGCTCACCCCGCTTCCCTCCGGCTGCATCGGGGCCACCTTTCTATGCATGTCCCGTTCCCATCCCATCGCACTTCAGTCTTCCAATAATCATTTCTCCCCCTCTTTTGAACACCCCAACTTTCTTCATGTGTGTGCTAACATTTCCTGCCTTCCTAAGGAACCTCCCCTCAACACTTCACACTACCTTCACACCAAACGTCTTCCTCCTATGACCCCTAGCTCCTTCACGTCACCCTGACCTGGCTTCCATCTCCTCATTGACAGCACCCAAACCTCTAGGCCACCAAGTCTAGGGTTAGTTCCTTAGTTTTTGTAAGGAAAAAAATCAAATTGAAAAAGTTTGTTGTTGTGTGCCATGGAGTCGATTCCCACTCACAGTGGCCCCGAGTGACATGGCAAAAGGGCCCCACAGGGATTCCTGGGCTGTAATGTTTCTAGGAGCATCCCGCCAGGTCTTTCTCCCAGAGAGCTGCCAACCTTTGGCTCCTTTCAGTTGGCAACCAAACTCTTAACCATTATGCCACCAAAAAACAAAACCAAACTCACTGCCATCGAGTCAATTCCAACTCATAGCAACCCCCTCTGGGTTTCCAAGATGGTAAGTCTTTACGGAAATAGATTGCCCAGTGTTCCTTCCATGGAGTGGCTGGTGGGTTTGAACTGCCAACCTTCCTGGTTAGCCAATACCTTAGGCAGGCTCCTTAAGTTAAAAATATCATTGTTAGGTGCCAGTGAGTGGATGGACTGTGATTCACAGCAGGCTGAAGTAGAAAAGAAAGAATACATAGCCCAGACCTGCACCGTCCCCACAGTCAGTGCTATCTTGGAGCCCACTACTGCAGCCACTGTGTGATCCATGCCATTGAGGGTCTTCCTCTTTGTGACTTACCCTGTAAGTTACCTAGCACAATGTCCTTCTCCAGGGAGTGCTTCTAAGGAGCATTCTGGTTTTAATTCTCCCTGTTGAAAACAAGGGAAGAGGCTGCCCTCCCTCTGTTCTTCCAGTAAATTTTTCCTCTCTTAGAAAAGTATGCAAATCTAGGAGGTCTCCTCAAAGATCCAGCAGCTACCTCTTTGAAATGTAACTTCAGGAGATCCTCCCTTTGGAAGGAGGCCCAGCTCCAAAATTGCAAATTCACCTCTTGCCATAAAAAAACCAAAACCAAACTCACTGCCTCAAGTCGTGGTGACCCCTTTCTGGGTTTCCAAGGCGGTATCACTATGGAAGTAGATTGCCCAACCTTCCTTCCCAGGAGTGGCCGGTGGATTTGAACCGGCAGCCTTCTTGTTAGCAGTCAAATGCCTTAGGCACAACGACACCAGAGGTCCTCGTTCATAACAAACACACACCATATTTTATAAAGTGAAAACCAAAACTCATGCCCTGTTTCAGTTTGCTAAATAGTCTAAGAAAAATCTGGAACTTGTCCCTAAGTTATTAAAAAAAAAAAAAAATGTGTCTAAAATCACCACATGGCATCATTAGGAAAATAACGTTTTGGAAAAGCAGACAAAAATATGTAAATACCTTCTCTAACTGAAGTTCTCAGAATTTTTACAAGTTAAAATATTGAACTACATTTCCCCTGAAATACGAAACACAGGAACACAGAGAATAATCTCTACTTCCAACAAAAACATTAAATGATAGTAAACTGACAGTATTTACATGTGAAAATAATAAATACATTCTCATCCTTCAAAACAGAAGGCTACGTGGAATACAGGGAACAAGTGTAGTCAAGTCAAGGACTCACACCACAGGCTTCTCAATAAATGTTTCTGTGGAAATCACTCTTGTTCACTGTCACCATTGAAGGGTGTGAGCTCCGGGCTACACTGAAGTCCAGTCTACCCACCACATAGAAATAGCCTTATTTTTCATTCAAAATAGAAAAAAATCCCATCATGTCCTTGCTTCTTCCCAATTCCCATCAATTCATTTTCCACATTACAGCATAGCTCATGCCCAGTTTAAAAAGTATGGACACACCAAAGGATTTTATATAAAAGCTCGAACTGCGGAAGCCCAGGTAGCCTCCTACCATTCACCTCAG